TCAAATAAACACAGTGAACACATTGCAGCAGAGCTTCCAGACTAAGACCAGGAAGAAAGGCCTGGTGGTCTAGTTCTGAAAATTACCTAATGAAAATCCAAGAGATCACAACAGAATCCTGTGTGATCCCCTGCTGGAAGATGAGACCCATGGGATGGCAGGCACTCAAAATCCACTGGGGCTATAACAATGAACTCAAGCCTACTGAAAATGCTGAAGATGGCGCAGGACCAGGCGGCCTGTTGTGCATGGGGCTGCGACCAGTCAGAGCCAACTCCACGGCAACTAACACCAAGCAAGCACTCCTGTGACCCATGGGCCTATTAAGATAAGAATCAATATTTTGACCAGGATATAAAAAAAAGGGAGACCCAGAGGTGTCCATCTCCTGGTCACCATGGGAGCAGGCTGAGGAGGTCTGATTCCCCAGAAAGTAACACCTGCTGGATTAATTCAGGTTTGTAGGACTTTGGCATCGGGTAGCCAGGGACTCAAATCCCCATTCACAAGCAAGTTGGCATAACCTGGGAGCTTCAGCTCCCTCTGCAGTAATATGGGGATAACAATCCTGTATTTCTCCCAAATGGCACAGTGAGTAAACAATGAGATCCATCCAGAGCTCAGTGCAAAGGCCCAATTGCTCCAATCCTGCAGGCCTACAGAGGAGTAAGGGACACACCCTGTGCTCAAGGGAGCTGCTCCTGGGAGTGTGGGAGTGGAGGGGTTGGGGGAGTAGAAGAGATACTGCATACAGTGGGCTTCATAGAGAGAAGAGCTCCAGGTGAGAGGGACCCACTGGAGAACACAGTCAACTCCTAAGGACTTGCGCAAGGATGCCAACCAGCCAAGATGAGAGAGGCTTTGCTACCTAGGAAGTGTTAGGCAATCATCAGAAGGATTCAGAAAGGTAAATCCAGGCTGAAACATATCAGACCATGGACATCATCCTTAGGGGCTGGAATTTTCTCTGAGTCTAAGGCTTCCTCCTGTATCTGTGTTGTACTATCATATCATTGTATGTATCATGATTATATCATTCACATCACATGCAAGTAAAATTTTGCTGAAGGTAATTCAAAAATGGCTGCAGCAATACATCCACAGGGAGCTGCCAGAAATTCAAGCTGAGTTCAGAAAAGACGTGGAATGAGGGATAGTATTTCTGATGTCATACAGATCTTGTACTTTGTTGGTTATACAAAGGCATTAGACTGTATGGGACCAAACAAACTATGGATAACGCTGCAAATAATGGGAACTCCAGAACATTTCATTGTGCTCATGAAGAACCTCCACATAGACCAAGAGGCAGTTTTGTAAACAGAACAAGGGAACATCAAATGGGTGAAAATAAAGAAAGGTATGCATCCTTTCACCAGACTTAATCAATGTGTTTGCTGAAGAAATAATCAGATAAACTTGCGTTATATGAAGAATGAGGTATCAGGATTAAAGGAAGACTCATCAGCCTGCAATATGCAGGTGAACCACCTTTGCTTGCTGAAAGCGAAAAGAGCTGGAAATACTTACTGATGAAGATCAAAGACCACACAGCCTTTAGTATGGATTGTGCTTCAATGTAAAGAAAACAAAAATCCTCACAACTGCACCAATAAATAGCATCAAGATAAACAGAGAAAAGACTGAAGCTGTCAAGGTCTTCACACTTTGTTTGGATAAGCAATCAATGTAAATGGAAGCAGCAGTCAAAAAATCCTATGAACTTGCATTAGGCAAATCTGCTGCATGAGACCTCTTTAAAGTGTTGAAGAGCAATAGTCTCGGTTTGAGGACTAAGATGCACCTGACCCAAGCCATGGTATCATCAATTACTTCTTATGGATGAATCAAAACAGATTCAGCAGCTCTTAACAATAACAACAACATATGCATGTGAAAGATGGACAATAAATAAGGAGGACTGTAGAAGAATTGATGCATTTGAGTTATGGTGTTGGAGAAGAATATTGAAAATACCATGAATTGACTGCCAGAGGAACAAACAAATCTGTCTTGGAAGAAGTACAGCCAGAATACTCCTTAAAAGACACAATGGGAACCTAGATTCAGAGGGTGTGAAGGAAGGTAGAATCTCCACTGAGTAGTATCCAATCTGTCTAGGTGGGGCTGATGAAATGAAATGTGGATGGGTCTCTTGTGATACA